ATATACTGAGAGAATTTGGCTGTTATTTACCCCTTCTTCTGAAGATGCTAGTACATAGGTAGGCATTAGCAACCTTGACACGCCAGCTGTGGTGAAACTACAAACTCCACGAGGCATAGCAACACAGTCACAGACATGATGGTATTTGTAGTTTCAGCACAGCTGGAGTGCTATAGTTGTCTATCCATGTGCTAGTTGCTTGCCTGACATGCTGATGCAATGGCTTAACTTCTTTCTGAGGCTCCGACCTGGATGCAGGTCAGGAGTTGTGACTTTCTAACCTTCATGCTTATCCTTGGTCAGTGACTGAGAAGACACTAAAGCCAGAAACAGATGACTGATAGAAGGAGGTCAGCCATGGCAGCACAGACATCCTATAAGACAACAGTTCTTGTAAGCAGAGCCCCTGAGCAGCCCGGATCTCGTAACGTGTCAGTCAAAGAACAGAATTTCAGCCTTTGCTGCCGAGGCCAATATACTCTTGGGATCCAATTACTGAACAGCAGCAATTGTGAGCTGAATAATTTACCAGATTTCCGCTCTCACAATAAAATATATATATATATATATGGCAAACCATGAGCCATCCAGAGAGACATGACATTAGCCAGTCCAGATCACCAGAAGATTATCAATTAACCCAAATCATGTGCAGGTTAATCTGAATGGCTATATGTGAATCTGTGTCTCTGGACTGCACAGCTAAGGATTTTCACTTATTTAATGGCGATGGGATTAGTGTCAGCACAGGAGGAGGATGGACGTGCTCGCTGCATTTGCTGGTTACGGCTCTGCATGTTGATGCAATGTCTGCAGTGCTCTGTCTCTATAGACACAATGAGGGAGAATTTGGGTGGAGCGGCCTATTATGTCCGACCAATGCAATGCCGGCTCCACCTGGGTGAATCAGACCATTTTATACAGCTATAAATAAGGTGAGCTTTTCAGGGCTCTTATCAGACCATCTTCCAGAATATGATGACAGGATCAGAGCCGCTTCCAAAGTTTCCACACTGGGATCATTCGACAATAAACTCCGTCTAGAGTTGGCTTGCTGACATTTTCAATTTAAAGGAGAACTACACATGTAAAAGTATTCGCTAAAGTAGAAGAAATCTTCCACCCAAAATTATGACTGAACATCGGGATTCAGACCAATGTGAACTCAAAACTGGCAGTAAATATACAGCTTCAGTTTATAGAAACATCAGATCAAAAATGGGATCCCCAACAGAGTGACTCATAACACAAACCCAACGGGGGGAAGTCACATTTCTGGTATGGAACACAAAGAGAGGAATTTATCGAAACTGGAGCAAACACAGTCTGGAGCAGTTGCTCATGGCAACCAATCGGATTCTCGCTTTCATTTTTAAAGCTTAAAGGAGAACTATGGGGTCAGTGTTTTCCCCCATAGTTCTCCTTAGGGTAACGTGAGGACACAAACTAGCGTCCTCCCGTTACCCTAAGCTCAGTATACCACGAGCTACAGCTCGCGGTATACTGAGACGCCGGAGCGGATCCCGACATGGATGTCGGGATCCGCCTAGCTGCGTGAGTGACAGCTGGCTCTGCCTATCTAGAGGCAGAGCCAGCTGTACCC